GTGATTTGTTGTATATGAATGCACCTGCCTATTGCCTGAACAAGTTAGATGCCGCCTATCACAGCGCACTGAGATTTGTCACAAATTGTAAAGCACTTACTCATCACTGTACCCTGTATGCCAAGGCAGGTTTGCCATCACTTAATGTACGGAGGCTTAGTCATTGGTACACGTTTATTTATAAAGCTTTGTTGGGTAAACTCCCGTATTATATCTGCTCTCTGATAACACAGAGAGTTGCAAGCAGCTATTGTCTTAGATCGCATGATGTAGTCTTGTTAGATGTGCCAAGAGCAAGGACTGTCTTAGGTAAGACAGCTTTTATGTGCGCAGCTCCACTTGCTTGGAACAATCTTCAGCAAGAATTGAAACTGAGCAATCTCATTCCTCTGCATGTTTTTAAAGCCAGGCTAAATGAAATGCTTGTTGATACTATGGGCACTTGTAAATGTCTAACTATGTAAATGTATCCTGTAAATATAATGTATGATGTCCTTTATTGTTTCATGTGGAACCTATATGCTACAGGTCTCCCTTGAAAAAGAGATCTATGATCTCAATGGGACCAATCTCGTTAAATAAAGGTTTGAAATGAAACTAGTTGAGGGGATAATTCACATAAAAAACGCAAAAGTAAACCTTATTGTGGAGCTTGAGGTAATTCAGGAGAACACCATGGTTAACAGTATTTATCCTCAAATTAAAGGATTGAGCCATATTGCAAAAACGACCAACAGTACAACAACAGATATTGCCAATATATTAGAGGAGCTAAAAATGTATTGTATGTGTTAATGCATCCATCATGGACCAAGACATATCTTAGGTAGAATTTTATTCTCAATCATCAAAGGCAAAAAAGGAAATTAAGGCACGAAGAGACATGTTTGAGACATTCTTACTGCCCACAAAGTAATAAAGTCTTGCTTTTTAACAAGGTTCCACTAGTCTTAACTAAACATTTCTTCCTCTAGTCTCCAAACTGCACGTAATATCTAGCTTGAACTCCATTTCTTGGTCCTTCTGTGTGTCAGTACCTGCAGTCCTGAACCAGGTGAATTACTGCATAAGCAGCGTGACTCTTTTCAAAAGGTCAAACACTCTGACCGTCATCCCCTTTCATGGTCTTCTGTTGACTCAGACCCCATTTACACGCAAACGCATACGAAATGCAAACGAACCGAATACGATATCAAAAAAGTATTCCGTTCACACGAGACCGCTCGGGAGCGCTGGAGACGCTGTAGAACATATGCCGGGCCTGTAAGTGGCGCTGTACTCCCGCCACAAAATAGACCAAAAGCAGCGAAGAAGACCACAGAGCATGGTTGCCCTTCTGTTTATGCCACGCAGTGGATTTAGCAACATGTAGTTCATGTAATTCTCCATGTCCACTTGTTGCTGATGGTTGTGGTAGAGGAGCTGTAGATTTTGCACTAACATCTGTAGCATGGTCGAGCTGTAGATTGTGCACTAACATTTGTAGCATGGTCAGTAGCAGTAGCTATAGCTACTGACGGTAGCTACCAGAGGTGTGGACTCGAGTCACATGACTTGGACTCGAGTCAGACTCGAGTCACCAATTTGATGACTTTGGACTCGACAAAATCACAAAACACTTGCGACTCGACTTGGACTTGAACACCAATGACTCAGGACTTGACTTGAGCCTTCTGACTTGAGGTGACTTGATAATTTAATTCAGAGGTCTCCAGCACGCCGATCGCGAGATGCCGCTAGAAGAGCAGAATCTTCAGTCACTGCAACTCTTGCTGTGAATCCATGCAGGCAAGGGCGAGACTTTATTTAGCTGAGCCACCATGCGGCCAATCATATGCGAGGACACACCAGGATCCAGTGGCGATCACAACTGGACCTTCTGTAGACACACCCACCCCCCCGCCGCCAAATTTTGGCTGGTTTGCAGGAGTCTCTTTCATACACTTCTCACATACTATTTTCAACACAGATGGACACAGTGTTCAAATGTTTAACTGGAGTTGTTCCATGCCTGTCCAAATATCCAAATGTTGGATAGCAATTTAGTTATGGCTACAAAAAAGTTAAACATGTAATAAAGGATGTAAACTAAAGCTCTATGCCTTCTAAAATACAGGCTATGCGTGACAAGAAAGTTGCACAAAGCAGCTCGGGTTACATTTTCTCTTCTGTTGGGTAAACCCAGTCGAGCACATGGTACAAACAACAACAACAGCTGATGGGGCTGGGAAGAAGCCAACTGGAGATTCAAATGTAGAGACAATAAACTAGAAAAAGTGAGATAAGGAAAAAATAATTACTCCCACTTGGTTGTAGTAATCAAATGGTTGCAAAAAACAGACTTGATTGTCACCAAGAGAGGGAATGTACACCATTACACTGGCTACCAGAAGACAGACCCATGCTGCAGGGGATGGAAAGAAGAAACAGCAGATGGTAAGAAAAAGACACAGAGACACCACGCCTAAAGCGCTCATAACGCTCGTTTAAGCGTGCCGTTAACCCGGCCCGTTTCGTTTTTGTTTTTTCGTGGTTCTTTCCGGGCCAACAACCAGGCTGAATATGCTAAACTAGTGAGAGAATCGCTGGCAAGGCGGCTACAACTACAACAAAATGAACATATTTTACCCTGATTTAATTGTAATACACGTTTCACAGGGCTCGACATTAACGACTGCCCGATGGCCCGAGGCAATCTAGTATTTAGCTCGGGCAATGAAGCCTCACCTGCTGGTTGCCCGATCGGGCAATCTATTATGCAGGGTTCCCGCGGGAATTTGATCATCTGAATTTAAGGCCTTAAAAAGGTCTTAAATATGACCAAAAAAATAAGAAAGGTCTTAAATATGATTTAGAAGGTCTTACAAATGATGGGATTTGAAAGGTACTTCTGTGTAGCGAGCGCACTTCCACAAGCTACTATGATAAATACAAATAAATTAGACTAAAATTAATTTGATCAAATATGTTCTAGTGCACTGTCACAACCTAGCAAAGCAAAATAATGTTGTTTTCGTAATTGTGGCAGGCCAAAATCGTAATTGCGATTAAAATATGATGAATTGCACAACGCACGCACACACAGTTCTGTACTGTTATGCTGTTATGTTCAGTCATTGTTCTTATGTTGAACATGAATACATTTACTTTGTAAGTAATTATGGGACGTATTTCTTCTTTCATAGCAATTTTCCTTCATACTTTCTTGCCGTGAAATAGGTCTTAAATTCTATCTTAAAAAGTCTTAAATTTGAGTTGGCGAAACCTGCAGGAACCCTGTTATGGCAATTGTGGAGACGTGTCAGTGCCTGACAGCGGTCAAATCGGTTGGAAAACTATGAAAAAGTTGCCAAAAGTCGGTCAACCCGTCTTTCTTCATGGATGTCGCCCAGGGGGCCTCCAACACGTCGATCGCGAGCTACCGGTAGCTCGCGGGCAGCTAGACCTACAATTGATTTATTATGGTTTATAATTTAATGTCAAGACGATGAAGAAGAAAAAGATGGCTGCATTGTTCAGTGTCAATCCTGTGGAGATGGAGCTTATAAATCTCCAAAATCATGTTCAGCTTAAGTCTCAGCAAAACTCACAACATTTCTGGAGCCTAGACCCAGAAAACTATAAGAACATCCACCAAGCAGCACTGAAAATGTCTGCTTTATTTGGTTCTGTTCTACATACCTTTGTGAAGCAGCCGTTTCTGACATGAATGTCATGAAATCTAAATACAGAACAAGACCGACTGATGAACATTTAAATGACTATTAGAGTGAACCTAAGTGGGTCCAGCATACACCTCTATGGTGGACTCCATGCAGTGCCATTCATCTCACTGACTGTAAAATGTGTACACATGTGCCATAAGATGCCTGTACGGTGGTGATTAATATAAGGTGATGTGCTTACTATGTGGGCCATAATAATATGTGAGAAATTGTTGTTTTCTTGGACCTTGATGTGAAGTTAAGATTTTTGACAAGCTTTGGGTATTGCAATTTCACATGTGTACAAAAATAGCTTAATTCAACTGATGAGTGCGATGTGAATAAATGTAAGCGACGCGATGCAAGTAGCTCTTTGCCACTTTCATTTTTTCAAAGTAGCTCTCAGATGGAGAAAGGTTGGAGACCCCTGCTCTAGCCTAATAAATGTAATATTAGCCAAAATGCAATACTAACTTGAATACGGCCCTCTTTAAATCAGTCCTAGTTATGCATTAAAAGGCACACTTGAACATTTACATTTACAGTATCTGCTGCCTTGCTGAGTTGGATGAGCAAATCAATTAAAAAAAATGTTGTCGTGATAAAACAAATAAGATATACAATGCTAATAAGTGAAGTTCTTAGGTGCTTGCAATTAATGGATTTGTAGTTTTTTGGTGCTTTTGAAGAGAGCCAGGTTACTCGTTTGGCCTCTGCAAAAGCAACATTTTATAAATTCCATTTAAATTATGTCTTTTGGCAGGATCACTTTATTTTGACAACGAAGAAGTAACGCTAGAGTAGCATGACTTACCATCTATAGCAGTGGTCGCCAACCAGTCGAGTGTGGTGCGGGTAGATCGCGGAACGTTAATAAAAAAAGTAACAAAAGAAAAATTAAAATAATAATGTTTGAAAAATACATTTTTAGATGTAAACCTATCAATACAGTTTAAAAGGGGAGTGGTTTGTAAAATATCCATAAAGAAAAAGAAAATCTGTTTACAGTTCTGTTTCATCTGGGTGCTGAGAGGTATCCATAGATCTCTTCATGTTGCTCTCAAAGTGCACCAGATTGATGCTTTCAACTTCAATATTTAAAAAAAAATCTTCACGGGGGAGCATCCCCCCGGACCCCCTAGAGGAGGTGAGGTCCGCCCCCCACTCATAAAAAAATAGCACTTTACCCCTGCCTATATGCCGTGAGCTGATTATGGAGCCTTCATTGTAACAGTAATTCAGATGCAATTGGCCTATAAAAGGCCTCAAATTGGAAGCACTGTCTGGGCCGTCTTTTTCACTCAATTCTGCAATAGGTAGATCTCGCCTTTCACCTAGGCCGAGTTCGGTGACCTTGGGCTTAAAAAGGTTGGTGACCACTGATCTATAGTGTCCTAATGTATTGGGCCATTCATTTCCTTACTGCAATTATCTCTAAAGACAATCTTATTTGAGCCAGACATAGCTTTCCTACATGCTTACTAAATAAATACATAAATGAACATTTTCTTTAAGGTTATCGTTTCCTTTTTTTTCAAAAGGAACAGACGGTTGTTTTTTTCGAATATGAAAATCATGAACCAGTTCTTAAAATCACAGTTATGTACGTATATACAGTATCATCACTGATGGAACTATTGTACTTTATTCTGCCTGCTGAGTAATGATTGGACTCCTCAGCCGTCTGCCTCAGAGTTTATTACATCAGGGGGACTGATGGAGGAATAAGGAGACGGATAGAGGAGTAAGAGGGTGAATGGACTGATCAGTAGAGTCCCTGTGGGAGGCTTACGTAAACACAGGAAGTACCATTCCTATGTGGGAAGTGCTTCAGCATCACTTTATCTGCCTCCTCTCCCTGTGTATCTCCTCATTGGAAGGACACTCTAATGTAAGGGCCAATTAGGGACACTATAACAAACATGTCTACTATCGGCTGGTAAGGACTTTTGTGATATAAAGAGGACAATAGTTTGTAGAAATGTGGAGAAATGACCAATGCTATATAGGCTTAATAGCCATGTTTCATATATGCACACCGATAGAAACATAATTTGAAGTCAGAGTGAATAAAAAATACTGAATTACAAATACAAACATCTGCTTAAGCTGTGTGGCTGCAAACTCCTGCCTAAAAGTAAGTGGGAGTCTATCACACCACCCACAATAAGTCAAGAGAGAGCAACCCTGCAACAAATAACATCAGTAATGCACTATACAGGATGAATAACAAGTACCGTTGATAAATGCAGGAAACTGTAAGCTATGAAAAATACACTAATACTGGGCCTCTAGCAACACATTTTTATTTTTAAAACCATTTATTTGATCCAAAGGGATCTTAAAAGGGACGCGTCAGGAATGTGTGATCTAGCAGTCTGCTAGATGCAATAACAGGGTCTCTCAGCCAGGGACCAGAGGGGATCCGAGGCATTTGTGCTCATTTAACAGGAGTTCAAGAGCCCTATAGATGGCCATCAATCAGTGTACTGTAAGTGACCGTGTACTGACAGTATGGCCATTCAGATTCAGCACAATGCATCTCATTTTCCATTGAGTCATATTTCATGTTTTCCATCAGCCTCACAGTTTTACGAAAAACCATTTAAAAACAGGTCTGTTTGGGTGGTGCTTCTTAGCAGCAAATATTGACTATCTTTTTAAACATCCAAAGTCCATATTGGTGTGGTTTCTTCTGACAATGCACCTTTAAATCTACTGTTAACCGTTTCATGTTGTGGTTTGTCTTTCTCACGAAAAACGTATCATATCTAAAATTCCTGCTAAATGCTGTATCATCATGACACGTATTTCATCACCAGATTCTCGCCAATACACAGTCCTACTTCCAGCACAGACCCCGTATTTTCATATTTGTAATAGAAGCTGAAGCCTCACTTTGTAAAATCTATACAGCACAACTCTGCCAAATGGACTGATAGAGCCGCAGTAGTTCGACGCTGAATCAGCCAGCTGAGTCGGCAAAGACCGATGATATGCACGATATGCTGCGACACATTTGACATTGAAACTGTAGTAATGTACTGATGTCAATATACTCAAAAAATCCTTTTCATTTTTACTTTTGATGTGAATCGTCCATGGCACGCAGAACAAAAATAGATGCAATAGAGCCGGGCAGTGCTACTAGCCGATTGCAACATTGATCCTCTTTACACAAAGCATTTGAGGACATTCAGTTGACTAGATATTCATTGACTCCATAGATATTGGTTCAAGTGTCTCAATTTGGACACATACCTTAGTAGACTGCCATGTTGTGCACTGTGAGAACTTTCAATTCTGACCGTGTTGAATTTTTTTCATAAAACGCAAACAGCTGCTGTGGCCTGTCCAGAAATGACGATCACCGGTGTTAGCTAGCTAGCTTGTTAGAAACGTTCGCTGTAGCAAATCATAACGGACTGCTCAATTAATCGCATAACGTTAATAGCACCATCCGGGAACTTAAGGATCATTTTGCAATTGGACGCATTTATACACTCAAAGCAGCACATGCAAGTAGAGTAGGACACAAATTGAGACACAACAAAGGTCTCATAGCAAACTCAAAGTACTATTCAATACTTAACTTCCCACAAACTTTTTATAAAATTGATATAAAAATAACTTACCTGGACATCGTAAAGTGCCACAATGTTTTCATGCTGCAGCTCCTGAGTAAATATAGAAGAGAAAAACAAGAAGCGTTAGCAGAAGGATTAACCAGCAGCTAATGGAGTCACTTTCCCAGGTCAAAGTCAAAGGTGCAGAGAAGGTCAATGTTGGATCATTCTTTAAATACATCAAGGAGATAATTGAGAGGCAATTAGTGTCATGCTCACCTTCAGGATTTTGATTTCCTTGCCAAGAAGGATCTGGGACTTGGACAGGTTCTTCTTATTAATGCTCTTGATGGCCACCTCCCAATCTGTCTTCTATAAGAAACAAAGGGCAGGAAGGAGAAAATGAAATATATATTTTAAAGCCCCTGTGAAATGTCCTCTTCACTTGTATCATAGGTTAATCTGGTTGTCACTTTCTGAGGATATAAGACATTCACTTTGGACATTTTTCCTCCAAAAAACTAAAACAAAAAATTATTTAGTTTGGCATTTACTTGCAAAAATATATTGACTGATATTGCAGTTGTGATTTATGATATAAAGAGAGATTTATTTTATTATGATTTATGAGAGATTATTTACATTCTATTTTTAAATATGATAAAATGAGCTCTAACCAAATACTGCTGTGTTGAGATTTTGACAACATTTTGAGTAATTGGGCAGGACTATTTATTTTTGAACCACTGTATAATTACAGTCGTCAGTTCAGACACCCATCTATAGCTTCTTGATCTGTACATTTCCAACTATTTTCTTCAAATTGAGCAAAATTTAAATCTGAATCACATAGAAAATGGGATAATCCATTTAACACTATAGAAAAATATACATATCAATACCATGCACATAATCATATAACCCAGCCCTAATGCACGAGATGTTTGACAATGGGACAATAATACATGTGTGCGTGTGTGTGTGCCAGACTAAAGGGATAGAGGAAATTCTAGCCATCCCAATGGCACCACTTGGGTTTCTGACTGCTGGGCCAGCCCATAGCGCTGAATGACACAATGAATGACGAGCCACTCCGATGACATTTAGAACGTGAGCCAGACTACTCACACTAAAAGCTAAAAGAGACTGTGGCTGAGATAATATTTCCAAAAGAGCTCCGTGAGCAGGTTTAAAAAGACTTTAGGATCTCACGTGAGCTCAAAGGCGCACAGAAATAGACCCGGCCAGGGGTGACTGTCTGATTCTCTGCCCTTGAGACAATCACACGGATAGTATGGACAAATGGAATCAACCTTGTCAGTTCGACTGGAGAGATTCTATGAATAAAAAGACATGCTTTCCGAATGAATCTAGGTTCAAAGGAGATGTTCTGCAGGTGCACTCCGCCTATAGCCTGGCATAGAATCTAGCACACACAAGAGACTGAGTGAGTGAGTGTTTTTTAGCCGACTGCCAACTGAACTGCATCCATACCCAGCTCCCTGACAGCCTGCCAAGCCAAGTGGGACTGAGCCGCTGACACTACACCATAGAAGAAAAAGAGGAGTGACCCCACTGGCCCATCATGTGAGGGTGAGGCGATGTGGGGGAGAGACATTATAACAACTGAACTAATGGCTCAGTAATGCACCACATAATGGCGAGCTAAGCAGTGCAGAGTACGCAGGACAAGTCATGCTGCAAAGACAGAAGCAGGCTTTCATTTTCCAGAATATAGCATGATCTCATTTATGAATCACAGACGATTATAGAGGTGTGGGCAAAAGGGATTAGCGTCAGCAACACTGCAGATGGACATTGGGCGATGGTGTAGACCAGGAATGGGCAAATGGCGGCCCGCGGGCCGCATGCAGCCCCCTCCTCCTCTTTTTGCGGCCCTCAGATTAATTTATAAACAACGTAATTAATAAAAAAATATTATTTAAAAAAAATTGTTTGTTTTACTTGTAGTACTGATACCGTCCACTAGACTCCTAGTTACGTCGCGAGCTGCGTACATGATTTCAAATACCGCAAAAATAATCTGACACATCTGCTTTTTGCAGATGATGTGGTTCTAATGGCTTCATCGGTCTGCGACCTTCAGCACTCACTGGATCGGCGCTGAGGAACAGCAGAGTGCGGGTGTGTTGACATTCCCCTTATTGTGGAATAAGGGGAATGCAGAGACTGGCTACAAGTGTTTTAGGTTCAAGTTAGACAACTAATGTCCGGGTTAGTGTTCATGACTTCATGTTTATGTCATCTTAATGGTTAATCTCAATACACACACATCAAAATAGCTTTATTCCACTGTTTAATAACCTGTTCAATACAAACATGCCACTTGTAAAAATGAAATAACATTTCTGTGAACTGATATTTGTTTAGTGAGCTTATTAGAGGATGTTCCCATTTTTGGGGGATGTTCCCTTTGATTGTAAAATGTCAATGAAGATGTCAGACTTAGTATATTTGTTAATAATTACATACAACACATGGAATTTGTGTGTGTGTTCCAAGTGAATCTGCGGCCCCCTGGTGGCCAGTACATCAATGATGTGGCCAGTACATCAATGATGTGGCCCCCACCACCATCAAAGTTGCCCATCCCTGGTGTAGACAGAGAGGAGGACTTTACACAAAAGGAGTATCAACTTAGGCAATACCTAAAAAAAAAAAAAAATACAAACAAAGAGAGGTGGCACATCAAGGAAAGGCCATACAAGTTTGACAGAGCAATGTAATAATCTCTGCATGTCAATAACAGAACAGGAATTCATTTATTCTTTAATAAATAAGTAGTTTTTTTACATCTAATTCAACAAAGGCTTGAAATATTTTTAAAAGAAAGAGAAACTTCTTTGGTGGCTAAAGGCTAATAAATTCATTCAACATAAGTGTTGAACGAATTTATTAGCCTTTAACCTCTTATTAGCCTTTAACCTCTTTGTGATAAATTCAGATAAAATGACGCTTTATTAATCCCCAAAATGAATTCAGTTTTCCACTGTTATTGTACACACATTACAAATGCCTTTTTTATAATGGTCGAAGAGGCCAGGGAGCAGTTTGTGGTTTAGTGCCTTGCTAAAGGACACCTCGGCAGTGCCAGGGGAGTGGAACTGGCATCTCTCCAGCTACCAGTCAACACACTATTGGTCAGCTTCACGACTTGAACCGGCAACCCTTCAGTTCCCGAGCCAAGTCCCTACAGCTGCCCCAATTCTGGAAATCTGGAAAGAAGCCATACCTTGACTTAACTACCTCAAAAGTACTTATTTACTAAGTGTCTTAGATTAATTGGCTAACGCTAATAGATTAAGACCCCATTTACACAGGAAGGCAAGCGCAAACGAAACCGAACCGAATTCGATAACAAAAAAGTCTTCCGATAAGACAATGCCGGGCACCGGGTAACCATACAAAATACACAATTTCGGTTCTGCTTAACGGTTCCTAAACGCGGTAGACCCCGTATTCCACCGGGTCTGTCTGCGCCGCGGCGCGGCAGTGACCCGGTGGAATACAGCCAGGGTAAGGGCGGACTGGCCATCTGTGTGTTCTGGAGAATCACAGAACGGCCGGTCGTCAGCGGGCCGTTGATGGCCGGCACGGTACGCTGACGGCCGGCACCGCCCTTCATTGTTTTGCAACGCCATCATGTAAGTTACGGCGACAGAGGTCCACAGTTGCCCCGCAGCGAGGCTCCCCCCGCCCTCCCGTAGACGGTTCACGAGCTCAGTCACTTCATAACACCAAAGATGGATCGCGGTAAACGCTCTAAAGTGAGGCTCCACTACACTAAAAAAAAGAAAAAGACAAGGTACAGTGTAATGCCTGTTATAGCTTGCCACAGACATAGCTCAGTTAAAATAAAGCATAGTATATTTTTTATTTGTAAAAATGTCAGTTAAAGCTTAAAAGAATAAAGATATTTTTGTTATCTAAACGTTTGACCTCTTTCTTTTACAATTTTGGAATCGAAACGGGGAATCGATAAGCAGAATCGGAATCGATACATTTCAAACAATACCCATCCCTACTTGGGACCCGTTATCGTTTGCGGGGTCCGTTTCCGCGGTTCCGTTACGGCCTCATGTGAACGAACGGGCTATACGCAAGAGAAAAGTAGCGGATACAACCCGTTTCTTTCTCGTGTAAACAGCACCTATGAAACAGATTAATTACATTCAAGATAGTAACAGCTCCACTGTGCATTGTTTTTAACTCTTGATTATTCATTTATTTAATCGTTTATTTAGCAGGGACAATGCACAGTAATGAACACTTAAAACATTCAAATGTATCAAGCGTAACAGTGCCAGATTTAGCTTTGAGCTAATTTCCATCCGCAGTCCCTCACATAAAACATTTAAGACGTTTACATTTTACAAACATAGCCCAAACAAAATACATGATATGCAAAAAGTGCAAGAGCAGCATATACAAGTATTTATGACATGGTAATACAATATAGCAGCTACGACATATAAAGTGCAAGAGAGGATACAAGAGCTACCTAAAGTGCAAGAGGAGATACCCCTGTGTTAAAGTGCATTTAGCGGTGATTACACGTCTGGTTGTTGCAAAACCATTCTTTAAGTTGTCCTTTAAAGCTATTGAGAGTGGGACAATCCCGTATCTCAGTTGGGAGGCTATTCCACAATGAGCTGCCTTTAATGGAGAGGACATTTTGTCCTAAAAGTGGTCCGTCTACGGCAGACTTCAGTCTCCTCTGGTTTCTGACCTAGTGAAGCGTCCAGTGTGCTTTTTGTGGATGAATTCCCCTAAGGGGGGGGGGGGGGGGGGGCAGTCCATGTAAACATTTATAAAAAAAACACGTACTTTTAAAAGACTTAAAATTGTCAAAACTCAAGAAATTGTGTTTTTCAAGGATGTGGTGGTATGAATTTGGCTTTCTGTCAAAACCTTGATAGCTCTCTTGTACAGTTGTTCTATGGGTTTCAGGTTTGTTTCATATTGTTTGAAAAATGAGACTGTATTGGCTGCTATGCCATGTTGCAACTTGTCTCTTAGAAGTTGTGAAATTTGATTAATTTTGAAGAGTTGCAGAGAATTAACTTGCAATCAACATAACAACATTGCATCTTCATTCGATTGGTTTCCTTTTCGGCAACCCTTTTTCTACAGCCATGATCAGATTGTCCCGCCTTATCTCTGATGAATAATGTCTTGATATGACAGTGCGACAGGAGCCAATATGTACCATCCAACACTGCCTGGGCACTGAAGCAACCCATCACACTTATTGCAGCCATGTGGCTCTAACCTTCCTGTTCCTCCAAGGTGGTAATAATCCTATAAATAGACTAAATGGCATGTGGATGATTGGACTTAAACAGTTAATGCACTGATCACATGCCAGGACGGTGTTACCGAGACAGGAAGGCATGTGAGCGCTGGACGGATGTGCTGGACACTCAGCTTCCAGTGATGATTAGGGGATTGCTTGCAGGCCTACACTCAGCTCATGTGCTGTTTACACGAGAACGCAAACGGTTGTATCCGCTACTTTTCTCTTGCGTATAGCCCGTTCGTCCACACGAGGCCGGAAACGCGGGAAGGGACCCCGCAAACGATAACGGGTCCCAAGGTGGATGGATCTGCAAACGGAACGCTCTGGGGGGCCAAACGGCTCCGTGTGTACGCCCTATACGATCATTTCCTGATAACGATGAAGCCATAGCCCCACCTCTGCTGCTCACTGCTGTAGCATGGTCAGTAGCTACTGACCATGCTACTGACCATGCTACTGACCATGCTACTGACCATGCTACTGACCATGCTACTGACCATGCTACTGACAATGCTACAGATGTTAGTGCAAAATCTACAGCTCCTCTACCACAACCATCAGCAACAAGTGGACATGGAGAATTACATGAACTACATGTTGCCAAATCCACCACGGGGCATAAACAGAAGGGCAACCATGGCAACCATGCTCGGGGGTCTTCTTTGTTGCTTTTGGTGTATTTTGTGCCGAAAGTACAGCGCCACTTACAGGCCCGGCATATGTACTACATACGTACTACAGGCCTCCAGAGCGGTCTCGTGTGAACGGAAGACTTTTATTATATCGTACTCGGTTTGTTTGCGTTTCGTATGCGTTTGCGTGTAAATGAGGTCTCTCCGGGGCGAGGACTAGTTATCGATGGCCGCTCTGCTCAGCTCACAGTAGGGAGTGTGGAGAAGCTCTAATGTGGCTTTCATTGAGGTATTCAGGACCATATGCTTCACACTGGTAGCATGGGGGCACTATGATGTCATCTCCTGCACCTCTGTCAAAACAAACTCACCGTTCCTGTACACTGAAAAAACTGAACCGTTGACTCTAGTGTCAAAAATGTCACATAACTGTATTAGTTGAAAGCAATAATTTTAAGCTGATGCTAATATTTTATTATTTAAATGTAATATTATTGCTTTCAACTAACCTAATACATTAAATCTGTTGACATTCAAGTCAATGGTTCCGTTTGTTGCAGTGTATCCTGCTGATGAAAGAACACACGGAAATAATGCATTGATTGCTGAGATTTGTGAATATGATGTCAATGCTTCAGTATGAATATGCAGCTCTTACATAAGCTCCTTAAAAAGGCCCAGGAAAAACCCTGCACCCCCATCCTCCCACAGTACGTCAGCAAGTCATTCACTGCTGCCTGACTCATCCGTTTCATGAATGAACCAAGCGGTATAAAAGCACACTTGTAAAAGACATGCGGCTGATGAAATAGGACTGAAATCACCTGTGTAGCATGATTGTACACAACAGACAGGATGTTTAGTCATGAAAGCAGTCTAGTTTTAGAACCCTGCAAAAAGGTGACAGTCCACATATGTTGCTGCAGAACTGCATGCTGCACTGACTGACCCAGATTTCCAAATGAAGCCCTGAGGAAGAAGAGGGAGAGAGATGGGGAAGACAACACTGCAGGTGAGTTATTCATTTACCTTCCTGTGTCTTCCTTTGAACACCACAGCGAAGGCTCCATGTCCAACCAGGTCTTTCCTGCTGTACTCAAAATCTCCCACAGTCTCCATTGTGGTGGGATGATGGTCCAGCTGCTCCTTTTATATGTTGCTCTCCTCTTCAGAAAATAATCCTGGAGCAAACGATGCTCTCAGTCTTAGTGATGCTGCTTCTTGCACTGCGGATTTACTACATGACAGGCTGCTCTGATGTGCATAAATAAGAGATGCATTCAGGACATGATGCATTCACACGTCCTCTAAGTAGGTTGGAATGTTTGCAATATCACAAAGAACAGACGGCTTTGAGCATGGCTAACAACAATCCTGAGCTTGGTATTTCAGTGCCAGCTGTCCAGTTTGATAGATGCAAACCAGCTTTACATTACTCTCTTAAGAGGCTCACTATCTCACTGTGTGTCCCCAGTAACCTGGTTCACGAGGACAGTCTACATGATGCTGCTGGACATGACCATGCAAACACTGAGAACAGCTGCAGACAACGAGCTATCTGTTAGCCTGACAGTGACATAACTCTGTGGCTACACCTAGCGTCATAGCTGCTGCCCATAGCAGGTCAATGCTAACATGCTAACAATTGAAATACATTGTCTTGTGATACTGAATAATTCAACCTGCTTCTATCTGTATTAATGTAGCAACCTGTAAAGATAGCCGACATCCGGGAACTAGTTAGCATACAAAATCTGAAGAATGCAACACAATGTCAACACAGAGCTGTTGTTTTTCTGAAGTCCTTATGGTCCGTCTTCTTCCACAATTAGTCCACAAGAAATATGTTTCTCCTCTTGATAAACACTGACGTTTCCCCAGTGAGAGTTAATGTTATCCGTGTCACATCAAAGAACACTTCGTTGTTTCTCCGTCGTGAAGAAACGTTGGTGTTAGCAGTGAGAGCAGTAAGCTGTCGCCTTCACTTAACTGTATTTTCACGTTAAAGTACAGTACGTTAAACTGCTAATGTAAATTGTACTGTTTTAATCTCTGTACATCTCTGTCACACCATGACAGGAGGGAAGTCCTCTCGTCTTGACGCTGATTTTAACAATACTGGAAACTAGTCCCATGTTCTGTCTTTATAGCCTATCCGTCCGCGGAGGGCTGTTTGAGACATGTCCTTCCGCTGCAAGAGTTAGTCCGTCTACTGAAGATCTAAAGGACTCATAGAAAAAAATGCAAGTCATTTGGTATTTGCACTAACTTACAGATAATAAATTACTTTAACTATATGTATATTTGGATAACATATATATGAAATATATGCAAATATACACGGATTGTTGAGAGGTACAGGTTAAAATCATTATCACTGAACAAGTGATTGGTTTGTTACATATTACATTTGATAAAATGTCATTTGTAAAATATATATTTCAAATTTTGATCAATTATTAATACATAATCATAGATATGTATCATTCTTATTTTTAATATGTAACATGGTATCCATCAAAGAATTAAAAAACAATAACAATAATTTACAGATTAATCACGTTCTAAATGTTGCTCAATTATGACTACATATAGCATTATTTCCAGCGGGGGAGGTCTACTGTACATGACAAAAGAAAACGTGTCATTAGAAAATGTTGAATTTCGACCAGGAGAAACATTTGACAAATGGCAAGTCTATACAGTAGTTTACCATAGCCTACAATACCTGCTCTGTTTAGGTCTGACTCCCTCTGGTGGCTGGAAACAGTACCGCTTTGTCTTCATGCCCCTGGCTGAACTCATATAGAAAGCCCCGTATTGAGGACAATAGGGTTATTTAGGGACGTGAGGGGGGTTTAAATTATTTAACTTAAAAGTATTATTTTGCTGACAAACTCGAAAATGTTAAGATGTAACACTAAATAAGGATTTGGTGTGGACACTGGTTCATATATAATATCTTTCTTTGGGGAATATAAAGATGTCAGTAATCTGTAATTGAACAACAGATATGAAACTGCTCAAAGCATGGGTAATAATGAATCAAATATTACCTCAAGTCAGAAAATATCCTAATTCATTCATAAAAGTGAACAAAACTGGGAATCTGACAAAGCATTCAATAGCATCTGCAAACACGCGTGATCTGTACCTAAAATCTA